CAATTACCTAAATATATGAAATATATTCACACTATTTCGTTTAAGGCGACGAAGGACTGGTAATTGAATTTTCCCTTAATAATGAGTGGACCTTACGTTTCCAGTGAATTTCGCATAGGCTTGCTTTTTTAAAAGTTGTTTTCATCCAGTGGACTGTAGTTTCAACGTGTGGTTAACGTGTTGAGCTTAAAAGCTGCATTGTTACTGATCGATTTCCGTTAGGAGTGTTGATAAGACCTAGGCGAGGTCGAAACTACAGTCCATCCTGGATGAGAATTACATTTGGGAAATCAAGGCTATGTGAAATTTAAAGGACTCGACTCATATCATTGAGAGAAAAGTCAACTACCACCCCATCACCTTAAACGAAATAAAGTGAATACATCTCGTATGAGTGATTTACTGGTAGTTTAAAAACTCTACTTAGACGAAAAATAATTAGGTCAGTAGACAAGATTTTAAAAATTTCACTGAAAAACATGCTTCAAATAGGCTGACCACATGAGATGCACTAGAAGTATCTTTAGCAGCGAATTCCTCAACGTCTTTATTTGGCGCATCCAAAATGGCTTTCGGATCTGCGTGGGCTAAGTCCGTAGAGAATGTTTCCACTGGACATGATTGAGTTGAACGGCACAGCGTTCCAACAACCGAAAGTAAGTCGGCGATTGGAACTGGGGCATCCGTGAAAAGATGGTCGGCAACACGAGAAACAGAATTTACGGGAGAGTGATAACAATCCTCATCTTTTGAGGCACAACTATGCGAACCTTTGGTAATAGTAGCAGAAACATGCGTCGCTGAATTTGGAACGGTAGTAGAAGGTAGCTCATTAGATGACCTGATGTTTCGTGTTTTAGAATACCTCCTAGGCCCAACAACAATATCCCGACGTGCCAGCGACTCAAGAGCGGCGTGAGCAACGACGCGCAAGGCTAGCTCAAGATCAGCAGGAGAATGGATGGCAGAACGACGTTGCTGGCAGACGTGACCAGCAATCTCGAGGACTGGAGCAAGCCTACTAAGAGCCTCAGCGTGCAATATGGAAGCAGACGCCGTCACAAACATGCCAGGAGGGCCCGAGGCAGTCTCGCCAACAACAGCCACTGGTCGAACTAAACTACGCTGTTGCCGATATAAGAGATGTATTTCAGACAGGAAGCTGACTAATAATTGATCAACGGGTTGTGTGACACTCGGTAATGACAATGGACCATAGTAAGAAAGGTGTATGAGACTGCGCGTCTGCTGGTTGGTCGTGTTGTATAGAGTGAGGATTCGTTGTGTCCAGGGTCGTGAAGATGAACAGGCCGATTTTATTGCTTGAAGGCGTAGTTCTAGTGGAGTGCCTTGCACCAAAAAGCGACTACCGACTTTGTTGGTTGGCAAATGAGGCACCACGCGGGGATGTTGGAGTTCAGAAGTAGAAAGGAACCTATACGAGGCAAAAGTAGAAACATTTTTTCCTTTGTTATCACTGTCGCAATCAGGAACATCAGAGGGTGCAGACAACAGAATCGAGTTTTCCGATCGATCAGTAAGAGCTTCATCCAGCATAAGGAAATGGGCGAAAACATCGGGTTCATATTTATCTGAACAAATGGAAGGTAAGGTCATGTCCGGTAGAAGTAAGACGACCAATTCGCAGCCTTGTTGAAGGATCATGTGCCAAAAGTCGCCTATAGTGTTAGCTAGAGGAGCCTGGGCGATCAAGTACCGGGGACACCAGTCACCCAAGCTAGTCGATAGGTCAATGTGACTGGCGTTGACAAAGTCAGAAGCCGAATTACTATCTAAATTGGTCTGGAGGATAACCCTATTGTAATCGTAGGGCAAGCAGCCTTGACTGCGATTCTTAGCAGGACAACAACGGCCTGCAGCCTGAGTCAGTTTTCTTGCATGGCGATTGTTCGAAACGCTGGAGTTTACAGGCTGTTTGGCCATTTCGAGCACTCGAAACCAAGCCTCGTCAAGTCGTGTATGGCAGACATTGGTCCTTTTGGCTATTAATTCTGAAGATGGTGCAGGGCCGACTCCAGGATGGAGCATAGAAGGCTCATGAAGGCTTTCTATAAAAGAGAGCAGATGCTCTGTGGCTGCAATAAAGCGATTCAACACAAGTGGGTCGGATAGCGATTCACGGCAATCAACCGGATGGTGAGGTTGCACCGTAGTACGTTCAGATATAATCGAATTCTTGGACACAAGATGTGGTGAAGACATTGAGGGAGCTGACGTTGAACTAGCAGAAAACGAAGTAAAATGAGTGTCTTTATGGAAAAATCCGCTAAGTGACGTTGAGCCAGGCGATGAGTCTAAAGAAGCAACAGTGGAGGAAGCTGTTTCAGGCGAATTAGGTATATCGTTGCGTGATGCACGACATATCGATGAGTCATGTGAGCAGATGGAAAAGACCGCTCGAAGAGCCTCTTCACGTCGCTGTGAAGCCAAATCTTGCTAAAAATAATAATGACAAAATAATTTAAACTGGCAGAAAAACATGACAGAAATCTAGATGGATTTGATGGAATGGAAATGAAAAAAATCGATTATTCCTTTGCTGATTTATAGACCAGACAAAAATAGAACAAAATAATAAAACCGATGAGTAGGTAAAACGAATGATATGAATTAAATAAAACGAGAAAGAACTCCTATTTAGTCTCTTTAAATTAACAAATAGATTGTAAAAATATGCTTAATTATAAGATATCTTAGTCAAAATATATCTTGTTTTATAAAAATTAGTGGCTACGTGGACTAGAGTTGATGTACCTGCCATTTCGCTTGAGAAAGCGAATATAGGGAATTAGTAAATTGGCCTCGTCAGCTGCTAGGAGTCAGCAAGGTTTCGACGCTAAATTTGTGAAGAGTGTTTGGAGGCGTGTTGCGGCCTAGATGAATCCATGCCAGGCTTTCGTCTGTTGGATGACAGATTGTACAAAAATCCGCAGACTATAAGTAAAGAAAGGTCCCCTCGAATTGGCATGACTTTGTCTCGGCAACTGCGTCGAGGTGAGAGGAAGACCTTGTGATATGTGCCCAAATCCACATGCTCTGCCAGTCGGCAGTGACTTCAGCAAAGCGTCTGAGAATAAACCAAGTCGAGGGTCGAATGCTGGAAATTAACATCACTATTATGGCAGAGGATGCAGATCTGAGTACATTTTACAAGGTTTCACTCTCGCATTAATATGTTGCAGAAACGAGATTATACCAGCCAAATTAAAAAGGACTTCAATCAAACATAAAGCCACAACACGTTGGACAGCATAGCTACGATCTAACTTAAGGTCATCCCGAACTTGAGAATCTTCAAAGGTCGAATTTTTGAAAAGCAAGTTTTCACCTAAGAAGGAGCCTGACACAACAGCGTAGCGCGGGTCAATCAGGTTGAGGGACAGTATTTAAATCATCTTAAGAGACCTTAAGGATGACTGAAAGTTTCGACAGATACTCAAATAAAAAATTATATAAACGAGTTATAAACATAATACTTCCTTCTATATAAAAAAATTAAACTAAGAAATTGATATCTCCAAAAATTAAAAAATGGGACAATTTTTTAAGAATTTGATCACAATATTTAAACAAGTATTTTGATTGAAGATATGAAGACCAAGATGTTGTGGCCCCAAGTATGTTCGCAGTCTCTATTCGATTTATAGAAGTGGTTTGACCTCGCCGCAACTTGGTCTTGTCAGGGCGACTTAATAGAACGTACCTAGTCCGAAATCGTCTGCCATAGTAGTTGTCATGATTGCTGGCATCAGACAGTGGACTTGGTACATTCTCAATCGTTTCGCCAGCATCATCAATGAGTTTTGCCATTCCCCGCACCAAGCTACAAACTCGTCAGAGTCAAGTGAAATCAATCCCTCGACAAACGTTCTGCCGAAAACGGATACACTATCACTCATCTTTCTGTCCTGACATATCTATCTACTCTTTACCCTCTTATCACACTGCCGCCCTATCACAACTCCTAACTTGTTTACGTTCCACTCGTCAAAATGTGCCCTTTTGTGGAAAATCCAATGTGGCCTCATCACACCTGATATTCACCCCGAGCCCTCTCTTTTGATCTGCTGATCCGACTCGGGCCTCCAATCCGGATCCCTTCATTGTCTCGTAGATCCGTTCCTTATCTTTCTGGTTGATCGATTTCACTCGGTTCCAGTCCCAGTGTGCATTTCACTCCAGGCGCTATTTCTTAAGGCCCTAGAAACACATACATTGCTGCTTCATTGAGCAGAGCGCCTAAGCTCTGATTCCCATGTGTTTAATAAAGGAGAGGACCCGTGAAGGGAAGGCCTGATATCTGCAAGCATGGAAATCAGAGCTTAGTCGCTCTGTCAATGTAGCGGCAGTGTCCGTGCCTCTAGAGTCTTGGAAAATAGCGCCTGGAGTGTAATGCACACCTTAGATTTGCCACAAAAGGGCAATTTTGACGAATGAAATGTAAACAAGTCAGAAGTTGTAATAGAGAGACAGTGGGATAAGAGTGTAAAGAGTAGATAGATAGGCCAGAACAGAAAGAGCCGTGATAATGTAACCTTTTTGGCAGAACGTTTGTCAAGGGATTGACTTCATTTGTCTCTTTGACGAGCTCGTAGCTTGATAAGGAGAATGGCCAAACTAGCAGATGATGCCGGCGAAACCTTTTGAGAATGTACCAAGTCCACTGTCTGATGCTGTGAAACATGACAACTATTATGACAGACGACTTTGGACTAGGTGCGTTCCACTAAGTCGCCTTGACAACAAGACCAATTTGCGACGAGGTCAACTCACTTCTATAAGTCTTTCCATGCTTATAACTCGCAATTAGTTAGTCTAAATATATAGAGATGCGTGGGAACATAAGCAAGATTATTCAATGGGAAATGAATACCAACGTTTGCACAATATTAAACAATGTTGAATAAAAAAACGAAATTTATGTACAAAGCACTAAACGAGAATAGATTAATTCTACAAATTAGTTGGAATATCTAGGTGCCGATAAGATACGCTTGACTTAAATGGCAGGTTAAAATGTATACGATGACAAAGTTTATCAGCTTAAGCACATCTAAAAGATTAAAATAAAAAGGATATGAAACCTACAGAAGTGACGATATGCGGTTGCAAAGGTTTAGACAACTTCGGCTCATCAGCAACGGAAGGAGAAATTTCCACTCCAACGACATTTGGTTTCCTCACAGTAGAGTTTACATCAATTTCAATTTGCCTTGTCTCCATTTCTCCAGGTAAGCAAGATGATAGGGAAGGAATGTTATTCAATGATGTCTTGAGAGTAGACTGATCAGTGTTGTTAGTCCCCGAGACTGACGATGGAACTGAGGTGCAACAAACGTAGGCTTGAGTTGTTATCACTGTGGCTACTGTATCAGAAGATGAAGACGATTTTGGTAACATTGATAGCATTGTTGGTGCTATCTGCAGATTAGACATTTTCTCGTCGATAGGCTTATTACTCGGCAAATAAGGATGAAAACCGGACTCGTGTAGTTCAACTATTCTGTTAGTAATCTCCAATGGTTCTTGTAAGGATGTGGAAAATTTGTCCTCAACTGCGGTAGGCGGTCGATGGAGAGTCGGTCGGGTAGTCTGGCACCGAATGTGAAGTAGAGATAAAATAAATATCATGAAGAAGAAAGGTAGGATAGAAAAGAGAGAAAATTGAAAGATAAGGGATATAAAGGATAGGATAGAAAAAATCTTAAATACAATGCACATAAACTAAGGCGAAGTGAGCATTTTTAAACAGAAGAATGGCCAGATGATGTGAGTAGTCAAGTGAGAATAGGATAAAGATAGCCAAACCTTTTGAGACGCTTGAACTTATGCACGAATTTTAATGAGTAAATATGAGCTAGGTATAGATATAAGGGAGTAAATTAGTTGCCTTTGGATACGAATGTAAGTGATCTGGAGTTTGTGATCACAATCGAAAATGCCGTAGAGCCCAAAGTTGAAGTGACAAAATTTGAGCACGGGTCACAATAAGGGATTTAGTATTAATAAATAATAAAGAGCTGATGTAGAAAAGTGGGCAGTGATGTATGCATGCATAAATGTATGCAAAAAGTAAAGAAGCGAGGTCACATAGAAAAAAAGAATTCCAACAAACAAACAGACACATGGAATAAAAGTAGACGACTTCAAGTCCCAGGCTGGATGAAGGATTGTGACTTTAAGGGCACGGGGCCTACCGAGGCGTGTGCTTGGGATGGGAACCGGGCAGGTGGAATTGAACCAAGCTGGAGGCGTTCTAAAGTTCCGTTTAATTGTGTGTGCGCCCCACTTTGCCCTGGTAGAAGATGAACAGGCTGAAATATTCCCCCTGGTGTCAAGCTGGTCAAATTAATCGGTTTGGATGAAGGAGAGTAGTGGAAAGTTCCTGGAAGATTGACGGGATTCTCAATATTTATAATAGGGCTAGTAGTATTATTAGTTGAAGTTGGAAGGGAGGTATGAGAAGAAAGTTGAGGTTGTATCGGCTTTGGGAAGTCTGGCAGCTTGCTAGGAGCATAGGGATTCCGGTGAGTGGAAGGTGGTGGAGCTTCCATGAAATGATGAAATCGGGGCTTGACCCAAACATCTGTGTCTCTGGTTTGCTGAAACAACCCATCAGATGGATTAATTAGAGCCGGATCAGATTGGCTAATCGGTGTAGGTTTCCCAGAAGTATTCCCATGGGAAAGTAATGAGGAAGTAGTCGTTGCAAGAGCTCCAATTGGATGGAGATCAGATGATCTTGAAGGAGTAGCAAGTGATTGGTCCAAAAAAGAGGATTTTGTAGGCTGTAAAAATAAAAGGTATTTAATATTCAAAATATTCATGAGAATGCTTAAATAAAGACAAGACAAGATTAAATCTAAATATAATTAGAATCACTTCAATTTTGAGTGCGTGATGAAGAGATTAAAAAGATTATTATAACAGAGGACGATTTATTTTGATCAACTACAGTCTGGTTGACGCCATCCCTGGTGCAATCTCTATCGATTTATGTGAAAACGTCCGGATCGTTAGAATGTCATATGACGCTCATCACAAGAGCAAACTATCATTCCGAAAATTAATTCAGGCTAAGGAGTCATGAAGATCTGCCAGCTTCTATCGACATGTTACATATAAACTCAAAACCTTGGCAGTTATAGGATATACAATGATTTGGTTAGTTCATATTATGTCATGTGATCATGCACACGTATGTGTGAGTGTGTGGGTTCATCTGTAGGTAACGGTACGAAGCCAGAAGTGATAGGTCCAAGTTATTATAGCAGTGTTAATTCAACCCTTGATCGTGCCTTTTTAAACACATTAACCATCTCTCAAATTGTGTATTTACATACACACGTGTGGTTAGCTGATGAGCCTTTTTTCAGCAAATGGTCACAATGGGGCCTTAAGACAAGACAAGAAATCAGCTAAAAAATGGAGAAATGGAAGGAAGTATGATGAATAAAATTTTACGATTCTTATGCAGACAATTTGGGAAACAGGCTGACAATTGGATAGCAGGTAGAGA